TTCCTTTGGTGGTGTGTCTTCCGATGTCTTTTGTGCTCGAGAGACCTCAGAGGTACAGGAGTCACAGGGCTGTGATTTCAGCATCTGATCGCAGCAGTGTAGGTTATAGTAAGAGCTGATGTATACTAATAGGAAATGCTGAAATGTAACTGTGAGGGTGCGTGGTTGGCTCTGCGTGCAGCTGGAGAAGCTCGCCGACATCCAGGAGCACAGCCCCTCACGGAAAGGCGGTGTAAAGCGTTGTAGGGCTCCGTTGTTTTTCTGCTTTATTTCATCCAGCCCATGTTTCAGCTCAGATTGTTGGAAAGGATGAACGAGGGCTTACTTATGAGCGCTTACTTTCCATATAATCCTTAATGTGTGGAAATCTAAATCTACAAGGATTGATTTTAATTTCCTCCAAGAAGTTGCTCCTGGCAGAATCTGATAAAGCCGTTTTTAGTCTAATTCTTCCCAGCCCCAGCCCTGCCCTTGGTGAGCTATCGGGGCATACCTATCTTTAGGAATTCATTTGGTGATCACTGCAGCTTGCATTCATTATCTCAAATACCTCCCAAATCGTCGGCTGATCCACGGGGAGGGCTGGAGAAGTGGTCTGACGGCATTTTCTGAAACTCGTCAGTTTTGGGGGAGAATGTTCCCAGGTTCTTGTTGGTGGTTTGCTTTTCTGCTCCGTGTTGAGCTGCCTGTTCGGTGCAGAAAGTTAATGAGAAGCGGAGCCGCTCCATGGCTCTTGACTGCTCTGTGCTGCCTCTTTCTTTTCACCAAGATTTGCTTGTTTGTGCCCAGGATTGTTGAGCCCTTTTGGTGCCAGACTGACCGCGCTCCCAGCCCTCAGCCGGGCAGCAGCCCGGCCACGACACAAGCTGCCAGTGCCGAAGAGCGGGTCATGGTCTCCTGCAGGAGGGTCGGAACCTGGGCCCAAACAGCCAGAAATTTTGTACAAATTTTTAAGAGCTTTTGGGGCACATATTCTGTTTTCTTTACCTGCTACCAGCCCAGTGAATCAAGTAGCAGCCTTCCCTATGTTAGAGAGGTCTTAATGAACAAGATGTACCCTCACCTTCCAGAATGTCGGAGTAGGAAACGCAGCAAGGGTTAATTTAAAGCAATTTGCACATACTTGGTAAAAAAGAATGATCTTCGTCATTCCTGAACTCCGCAACAAAAAACAAATTTCTGTGGAAAGAAAAACACAAGCTTGCCGCTGTGCCTGGAGCAGGGCGATGCATTGCAGGAGAGATTTAGCATCGTGTTCTGACCTTTCTGGAAACAGTTGATACGGAAATATTTTTGTCATATTTATTTAAACTTTTTTTCTTGCATTTAATTTAAGTATATTTATTTGAAAAAATCAGCAGCATGCCAGTCCCCAGTTCTTGGCGTGTTAACAAAACTAATCATGCAATAAACATAATACCCTTAAATCTATGCTCAAATACTTTGATCCTAATGCTATTGGGAAAGTCCTTTTGTTCTTATTCTCTATGTAAAGCACCAGGTGTGACTATGGTAGTTTTAGGAGATAATAAAGATAGTAACAAGAGGAAGCTTTACTAGGATCTTTAGCATAATGGCTACAGCTGATTTTTGAAATAGTACTTCTCTACTGTTTTATGTGCCACACTCATCTTGGTGTTTTGTTTTTTTTTTTTAAGAAACAACACAATGTGTTGTTTTCACACCATCCTCCATGGCTGGCTATCCTCCCAGGTTCGCCCAGGGGTGCTATTTGTTGCCGTGCCTCTACCACAGGCTGGAAACAGCATTTCAGAGATATGTTTTTAAGCACTTGGGGGGAGGCAGAGGTGGGTTGACTATGGTGCATGTGATTCTTGACTCCAGGAAGCCGGTGGGTGAAAAAAGCCAATACCATACCTTGGGTACACCTTCAGGGCTGAATCCAGAGGTGATTAAAAGCAGAAGTCTTTCTGTTGACTTCAAAGAGCCTTGGATGAGGCTGCTATTCCACAGAGTGCCACCCACCCATCCCCAGTACTTGGAGGTATTTTCTACATGAGGTGGGGGATAGGAAAGAAATCAAGAAAAAGGAAGAGGAATATGAAAGGAATGGTTTTCTCTGTGCTTTTCAAATGTTTTAAAGAAGGCAAGGCCAAAGCTTACCTCACCATGGCGTTGTTACTAGTAGATACCATAAGTGGGTGGCAACGTTTGCAACGATGAAGAGTCCTGCTAATGAAATGCAAAGTTTCTCCAGGGTCCAAAATAAAGGATGAGGCTGATGGCAGTAGCTAGGTGTATTGCTTCCCTAAGTCATGTGGCGTTGAGATGAAACCCACTGTTAAATTATTTTCTGCATGTGGCTCACATATGCTTAAAACCTACGTGCCAAATAAAAGTTGGAGATACCTGAGATGAATTAGGAGGCAGTTACGAAGTAGGCTCTTGGCAAAGGAATGTTCAGTCTCTGATACTTGGTTACATTAGATTATTCAACCTCTCTTTTCTGTCAGTGCAAATGAGATCATAACTCACATGTGCATGAAAGCAAATGAGTGGTTTAGATCTAAAAATGCACAGATGCCTAACTTTGATTTATATTAAAGACAGACATAGAAATTATTAATTCCAGCATCCTGGGAATTACATTTAAGTAACAACAAAATTAGGCAAATTATGCCTCAACCTCTGAGCACACCAAGGTATGCATGCAGACTTGTTGTTTGATGGTGGGATGGTGAGATAAATGTCAGAATCAGGCTCCACACCGAAGTCAAACAATTTGTAGAAGGGTGATAACAATTTTGGAAATTACTAGCGCCATATTAATTGTGGGATCAACTATTTATCAACCAACTTCAGCTCCCCAGAAATGTCCTCGCATTGTTGTACAATGTGGTGGTTATTCCTTTAGAATAAGTAGTGGATCCAGTATATTTTCTAAATTAGAGAAAAGATGAACTTGGCTGTACCAGCTTGGGGTGTGGGGCAAGAAAGGGTCCTGACCAAGTATGTGAACTTACTGTTTAGTGGCACCAACCTGCACGGAGAACGCTTATGGAGGAGCGCTTGAAGTTTTGCTAAAGTATCAGTGCTGGCCTTTAGTCCAAAGACAGTAAATGGATGAAAGTATTAGATGTTTACAGCTGGGTTTGGTATGATTTGACATTTCCTTCTTGCTGCTGACGTTCATTGCCTAGGGAGAGATGTAGAAAGAATGAAAAAATGAACTTCTGGTGAAATTTGAAGGCTTATAAAAATAGGATGACATTAACTCAATCTTTTTTCAGTTGATACTAAAGAAAAAAAGTGAAGTTTATGAACGTGGGTAACTCTTGAAAGTCTTCTTTTAGAACAAGGGACGGCACTTCCTCTGTGTCTCAGTGGCTGAATGTTGCTCTGTGCGGGTTTTGGCCTGTCTTGTAACTGGAGCTGGGCTCAGGAAAACTGGGAGGCGGCCATCCCTGCCGCAGGCTCACCTTGGCTTCCCACCTCTCCTGGAGGAGCATCATTAGTGGCCCTTAAACCCTATTGTTCGCAAGGGACCTCAGCTACCTTCTGTTGATCTGCAGTGGTCTTGTAGCAGGAAAACAGCCCTCTTCAGGACATCGCCTATACAAGCTTTTAGGCAGCAATGTCTGATCTTATGAGTTACATGCATTTCTCTCCAAAAACTTTTCCACTTCAGAGCGGGCTACTGCTCTCTCGTTGGTTCTTTGTGTACCTCTTAACACAATAGGGGCTGAATGAGTTGGAAGTAGTGCTGTAATGCTGTCAATGCATATGCCAATTTCTATTCTAATGGATGTTCCAGAGCTGCTACGAGTATAAATTGTAGGTTTTTAGGTTTCAAATGTATTCACAGGCTGGGAAGATCTTGGGCTGGAATTTATTTCTTAGGAAATATACTGATGGAATGGCTCCAAAACGAAGATGCCTCATCTCTGCATGTTTGCTCCGCTATGAAAAGAAAGCAGAACATTTTCTACTGAGAGATGGTTGAAGCAGTGTGTTTGTGCTCAAGGATTAAACCAGGTTGCTTATGACATAGCGTGCAATGGCTTGCATTAACATGTAATGAAGAAATTGAAGCTGAGTCTCTGGGTGCATCATGCTGAGTAAGAGGCTTGTTCTACACGAAACTGTCATATTAAATTCTTGTCGTGATTCCAGACCCCTTTGATTCCTAAATCTTTTGGAGGAGACTAATCTGAAATCAAAGTGAAGTTGCTTGGGGTTTGCATGCCAGAAGTGGTCACATTTGAAAAAGTTCAGTGAACCTGCAGAGGGAGGTTGAAATTAGTTGCTTCGCTACAAAGCTTACAGCTAACGTACCTGCTGATTTGCTTTTCGCTTTGATTCTTTGGGCTCTGCCTTCTTGCCACCTTCTGAGTTGTTTTCAAAATGCATAAATCTTAAGGATGAGTATGTCCTCGTTTCAGTCTGTTTAGTAAAAAAAAAAAAAAAAGGTAAATCAACCTACACTGGTCAAACAAACGTGAACTTTAATACCGAGGACATGGGAAACCTGCATTTTTCTCTTTTGCCTTGTCCTTTGTGCAGTTATTTCCCTCTGTGAAGGTGTATATCGCACTTTACTCTCCCGATTTACCAACATTTGACCTTCCTTTGTACCAAGGTAAATGGAAATGATTCCTTTCAAGTTCTTCTAAGTAGATACTGAGGGCTCCTGCCTTGATCCCTGTAAGATGACTCTGCTCCTTTGAAACCACTGGAGCAATGCTAGGAATCCAGCCTGTTACCCCTGCTGAATGTCAGCCGCTCTCTCTAATTTGATGTTGGCATTTTGGGGAGCTTTGACCAAGAATATAATGCAATATTAAGTGCAAATGGGAGCATTTCCAGCAGTTAAATTCTGCCCTTTCGCATCCCCCTCAAGCTTTGTGCAGGCTGCCGGGGACCGGGGGATGTGCTTTTTGGTCCAGTTAAAAGAAAATGCCCTGGGTAGCCATGGCCCATGTAGAACTGTGTAGGTGGCCCTGCGTGAAAGCTGATCTGTTGTTACTTTATATTTACAGTGTTCTGTCTCCTGTGGAAGGGGCCAAAAGCACCGCAATGTGTACTGTTTGTCAAAGGAAGGGAGGCATGTAGAAGAAGATTATTGCAAGCACCTTGCTAAGCCCAATGTGCAAAAGAAATGCAGAGGGGGCAGATGTCCGAAGTGGAAAGCAGGAGATTGGGGACAGGTGAGACGTGTTGTATACCCTTTTGCACCCTTTGATATTCTTCCTCCGTCAAATTGGTTAGAATCTGGTTTTGCCATGACTTCTGTCCTCTTGAATTTTTCAAGGGTAAAAGTTTTGGGCCAGATCCTCAAGTGGCGTAAAACAGTGTAGCTTCATGGATAGCAGTGGAGCAGCACTGATTTGTACCAGCTGAAAACATGGCAACTTGCTTTTAGTGTCTATCTGAAAGCAAATTCCTTGTATATTTTAAGTTTCTGCTAGGAAAGGCATTAGTATATAATATTAAAGAGAATCTACTATTTATTAATGTTTTCAATATTGTTATTATTTAACTATGTCACATCCCAAGGAAAATCTTCCTTAGTTTTGAGAAATCTGAAATTAATTTTATTACCAGATTCCTGGAAAATCCTCAAGAACAATCAGAGCTGTTCATTAAAAATGCTTTTCACTACCTTTTGTTTCTTAACAAGCTCATCACTTGATTTTGCTTAATTAAAAACTCAGACACTGTTGCATCGAGCAGAGGCTGCTGGAAATGTGAACGTGCTTGGAGTTATTAAGCATCCTGTTTGCTGAAAGCATACCTTGAATCCTTGTTTTCCTGAAAATAATGTCTTTGTCATCACCTTGAATCTGCTGCATCACATTTTTATCTCTGAACCTCGCTTTTCCTTCTACCTCATTAGTGTGCTAATCAGCAGAATTATTGAAAATCCCAGACTAAATGAACTGCTAACTTGTAAAACATCATGTTCTCTTGCGGTCTGTCTTCCAAATTAAGGTACAAAACACCAGTTCTCACTTTATGCAAGTTCCCTGAAAGATAAACCATTAACATCACTACAGGCGCACATGTAAATGTTAGGACTGGGACAGCGTACGCTTGTTTAACGTCAACTATACAAAAAAAACAATAAACCCACGGATGTTCTATGATTATTTTCAGACTTGTATGGGTTTTTTAGTGCTTACCTTTGAATTCATAGGATGGGAGTATTTGCCATTACCCGTGCAAAGGGCTAAGCGTGCATTCACCGTGGAGGTTCAGTTACTGAGGTCTTGGGTCCTTTACCCAAGGCATGGCTGGGAGTGCCCAGGCAGCCCTGCGTAGCCCTGTGAAATGCGCAGTACTGCTCCCATATTGGAAATTAAATCAATGTTATTACCTTTATTAGCTGCAGGACTGAAGCCGCCATTTTGTTCGGGAAACTAGACTGAAAATAAAAGAGTCTCTAGGCCATTAGATGGTCTTGTAATATCCGATTTGCACCTTATTTAAAGTGACTGCTCCTGAAAGCAATTTTTTACAGCTAATAATTGTAAACATAATAACGTAATGGTCTATCGATTGCATTAAAATACACTAATGTTAATTGATAAAAGTAAGTGTTTTAAAATTCCCAATGTTCCACCGCATGATCGGAGTTAATTTTATGCAAGTGGAGAAAGAAACCCGAGGTAATAGGAGGATGAGGTGATTTATGGCCTGAGGTAATCTCTTGTGACAAGGCAATTAAGGAATATTTGTATGCTAACGATAAGACTAAGAAGAGGCAGCGCGTTTCCAGCGTGCATGGGGGGTAGCCCCTCAGCCCAGGCCCCTGATGCTGGATGCGCTCAGCCAGCCGGCATCTTGCTTGGGGGAAAAAATAAAGGGGTAGAAACACCCATTCTGCAATATCAAACTGGGCTTTTTAAAGCCACATGAAACGCTCTGACGCGGCTTCGCTGCGTCCTGGTTCTCGCTCGTGCTGGCAGCGTTTCTTCGCCTGCGACCGATGAAGAGTTGGGGCTGCCAGCCGTTGGGAGCACCGGCTGTGGCTGTCCCGGCGAGGGGTGTGCAGGGCTTGCACGGCTCTGCAAAAGGTTTAGTGTCTCAGAGCCGAGGTGGATTTAGGTGCTGAACTTCTCATTAAGGCTATGAAACGGGCAGAGGTCTGGCACTCTGAATACCCAGTAGATCAGGATCTAAATGGGCACGCAAACTCCGTGTCACCTTCCCCATCACTGGTGACACTGTGGAAAACAGGGAGCCGTGATCGGTTTGTACTTAGATACTATCAAAAAAAGCTTTCTGAAGGTCTAATTGCCTCCGAAAGGTAATCCCAAAGCTGAGCTGCTGTGAGCTGTCTGCCTTTTGTCCTGGGTAAACCAGCAAAAGTCTGCATGAGAAATAAGGCAAGGTTTTCCCATAAAAATGCATCCTTCTTGTCACCGTCTATGCACAGGACCTGTTGCATGTGCCTTTATTTATTGTTTTTTATTTTCCTTTTGGAAAAAGAATGATTAAAAAAATCAGGATAAAGAAATACAGGAATGGTTAAAAATGAATCCCAGTCAGCAGTTGGCTAAGCTGGTGCTCCACTCCCAAGTTTTTTTTCTCTCTGGATGTTTTGTATTCAGAGGCTGGGTAATTCTTTTCTAGATTGCTGTGAATCTACTTTCCTTCAGCAAAGCATTTTTAATATATCTGTAACAATCAGAAGGGAAGAAAAAAGGCTTTTTCTCCAAGTTTTAAATGTGCTTGTATCTGCACTGAAATGTCAGATTTAATGTGTTTGCATCTCCTAAGTGGTATCAAATTATGGCCATTTACCTTTCATTTAGCAAAAATACCAATATTTATTCTGCTGTCTGGTATTTACATATTACGGCTACAGGCTGAAATCCAGCCCTGACTAAAAAACACAGGTAGAGCATCGGGTAGAGCTTCTCCATAGCTGAGCTGGCACTTGGCAGTTTGGTGATTGACTTTCTCAGTGGAGAAAGGAGCACTCTTGGGAAAACATATAAACTCTATAGACACGACAAACAGGCTGCCTGGCTTGTGGCATCCCATAGGGGAATATATAAGTACAGCAAAAGCTGACTGCCCCAAACTGAGTATCTTCTGGGAGCTGGATTTCCCGAGGGCAGGCACAAACTGGCTGACCAGTATTGCGGATTAAAATAGCCAGGATGAAAATGTTGTTATTTTGAAGCCA